ACTTTGAAAGACTCTTCACCACCGTTTTCAACAATAGAGAAACGGGCCGCTGATTTTAAATTAAATCATGATCGTCCATTTTTGACGATGAACGTTCAGATCGCTCAAAAATCACAACTAGTGAGGAAACCATCGAAAAAATCTACAATACCGCGTTAAATAATCGACAAATGAAAGTGCGTGAGCTTACTGACATTGCGAACATTTCAATAGATCATGTTCACAACATCTTACATGAACATTTGTACATGAAAAAGCTTTCAGCATGTTGAATGCCGCGTTTGCTAACGGTCAATTAGAAACGCATTCGAATGAACGTTTCTTAAGAATACTTGAATATGTTTAAACGCAATCCAACTGAGTTTCTGCAACGATTTATCTACTGTTGATGAAACATGAATTCACCACTACACGCCAAAAACGAAAAAACTGTCTAAAAATAGGTGGAACAGGATGGAAAAACTCCAAAGAAGGCGGAAACTGTTCTATTAGCCGGAAAGGTAATGGCAACAGTTTTTTAGGATTCGCGGGATGTGGTGTATAAAAAAAAACTATTTAAAAAAAGGCAAAATCATCAACGGAAAGTATTATACAGCGTTGCTGATGCTATTAAAGCCAAACTCCGTATTTGGCAAAGAAAAAAGTGCTTTTCCATCACGACAATGCACCCGCTCACACTTCTTCAATTGCAGTCGCAAAGTTCCATGGATTGCGCTCTAAATTGTTGCCATACGCACTAGATTTCGTCCCCAGTGATATTTTCCTATTCTCGAATCTGAAAAAATGACTCGCCAGGAAAAGATGCACTTTAAATACGGATTTGTCTCATCATCATGAGACAAACACATATTTTGCAGAGTTCAAGAAATTGTGTTATATTGAAAGTATAAAAAAGTTAGAATATCATTGGTCTAAGTGTATTGAGTCAAAAGGGGACTATGTTGAAAAATAAAAAAAAATTTGTCAAAAATCATGTGTTTTCTTTATTAAGCCGAGAACTTTTTGAAGTACCCTCGTATATAACTACTAATATATTTGTGTTGCTTATAAATATATTGGTAGCTTATAAAAATATATATAGAGTTGTTTCGATCAATTTCTTTTAGCTATTAGTAAACATCTCATTGATATTATGATATGAACGGCTCTGAAGCAAAATTCCGCGACCATCACTTACCGTCACGACCGTGGCTCGCTAGACGCGCTGGAGCGACAAAGGGAAGTAAGTATACGTAACTTCCAAAAATGTCCTCGAAAGTGAAAATAACGTCGAACACTGATTAAAATATAAAATATTATCTGATTGTTATTAATCAATAAAAATGATTTTAATATCATATGAATTTTTGCATCTAATATCATAATCTTTGATAAAAGAAATTGTATAATTTTTTATTTGCGTAAACATATTCAATACATTTTTTGTCTATCAGATAAGAAAGATGAATTCATTTTCATAGTTTAACATCTATTGTTGCATTGGCCGTCTGCTGATTGTTTTTTTAATTGTTATGCATTTCGCTCATTAACGGTTACGGCAAACAATCCAAATTTTCTCCAAAAAATAATCGCGGTATTATCCCTTTTTAACAAATATACGATTAGAAAGATCTCAAAAGTGACCTAGAAATATTTTGTTATATATCCGTGTACATTCTGTCAAATAAATATCGAAAATTGTTCATTTCAAAAACCCGCGTAAAAAGTACAAAAACAAATTTTTTGCTGTAAGTTGGTACTAATGTACCTTCAGTTACTCGTATTAATATTCGGACATCATGATACATCGGAAATAACTACTCTCTAAACATGATTCTTATTGGAATAAGGAGTTTATAGTTTTTTTTTAAAATTGAAACATTTATTATATAGTTGCTAGAGTTATAAAACTTATTTATATTATTGATATAGTTTTAAATATATTAAACAATAGATAGAATTATGCTTAATTTTGTTATCGCACAAATATTCGGACATTTAATAGTATTTTAGTGACCTTGCAAAATCAGTTACCTCATTCCTTGCTTGTTTACATATACGAGGACGTGTGACCTATCTCGCAGTTAGTCAGTTTCACTTGAGTGTTCGTACATATTATAAAATTGAAGTGAAAATGCGACGCAAAGGCAAAAATACCTTATTTGATAAACGCCAGCTTGTTGTTTATCATTATAAAAAAGGCAAATCATATAGAGAAATTGGTAAATTATTAAATTTAAATAAGAGTACAGTAGAAGATATCATAAAAAGATATATTCGTGAAAATTGCATTGAATCGATACCTCAGAAAAGACGTCCAAAATTACTTGATTCACGAGATAAACGTAAAATTATTAGAAAAATAATACAAAATCCTGGTTTAAGTGCACAAAAATTGACTACAGAATTATATAAAGAGACTGACCAGAAGGTACATCCTGATACAGTTCATCGAGCATTAAAGGAAAGTGGCTACAATGATAGAATTGCTCGTAAAAAGCCAATTATAAATGAGATAAATCGGAAGAAAAGATTATTTTTCGTTAAGGAGTATATTCCTAAAGAGCAAGAATGGTGGAATGATGTAATATTCACTGATGAGAGCAAATTTAATATTTTTGAATCTGATGGACGGAAAATACTATGGCGTAAACTAAACGAAGAACTTAAAATAAAAAATATGAGACCAACTATGAAACACGGTGGCGGGAGTTTAATGATATGGGGTTGTATATCAACTACGGGAGTGGGCGAATTAGTTTTTATTGACGGAATTTTAGATAAAAATAAATATTTAAATATTCTAAAAGGAAATTTAATAAAAAGTGTTAGCAATATGAATATACGAGACAGTTTCAAATTTTACCAAGATAATGATCCAAAACATAAATTACGAATAGTACAAGAATATTTATTATATAATTGCCCAAAAGTATTACATCTTCTACAGTCACCAGATTTAAATCCCATAGAAAATTTATTGGATTTATTGGATCATTCGCACTACACCTATAAGATCGATTAGAAGAAAAATGGAAGCGTATTACACTAAATTATTTAACAAAAATTATTTCTAACATGCCCAAACATTTGCAACATGTTATTAAACAAAAAGGTTACGCAACAAAATACTAAAATTATTATTATTTTGTTAATGTGTATATTTATATTATTATATTTTGTTATTGCCCGAATACTTTTGCGGTAATAGAATTAAACATAATTCTATCTTTTGTTTAAAGTATTCAAAACTGTATAAATTATATAAATAAAATTTGTGTTTCTGACAACTATAATGAATGTTTCAATTTTTTTAAAAACTATGAACTCCTTATTCTAACAAGAGCTATGTTTAGAGAGTAATAATTTCCAATGTATCTTGATGTCCGAATATTAGTACGAGTAACTGTAATTGTCAGGTATAGTTTTAGCGCCATCTATTTATTTATTTATTTATTTATTTACAGTTGTTGGTTTTGTTAGTCGACCTCAAGTGTACTCTGCGATTTTTAAAACGGATAAAAATATCGAACAAAGGGTTTGCCTTAAATTTTATGTTGCCAACGAAATTTCTTGTGCTGAGTCGTTGAAAATGTTGGAGAAGGCCTACGATGAGTCAGCTTTATCGAAAACACGAGCATACGAGTGGTACAAAACATTCAAAGAAGGCCGAGAAGTGGTTAAAGACTTGCTTCATTCCATTCGATTTTCAACATCTTCGACTGACGAAAACATGGTGTCCACTCAGAATTCCTTCTGGAAGGGCAAACAGTCAACATACAATATTATCTGGGCGTTATGAGATGTTTGAGAGAGAATGTTTACCGGTAAAGGCCAGATTTGTGAAAAAACAATTCTTAGATTTTGCACCACGATGACGCGCCGTCGCATACATCGACCCTTATACGCGAATTTTTGATCTTTTGGTCAAAAAAACTCAACGAATGTCATTAACTAAGCATCGTATTCGACAGATATGGCGCCGTATGACTTTTTTCTGTTCTTAAATTACCACTTCGTGAGATGTTTTGAGTCCATTAAAGCCATAAAATAAAATTCGCAAAAAGAGCTGTAGGCCATACCGGAAAGTACTTATAAGAAGTGTTTCGACGACTGGATTATTCGTTGGCATAAGTGTATCGCATCAAATGAGGCCTATTTTGAACACGACAAAATAAATTTAGATGATTAAACCAATATTTTGTGTTTTATTGAACAATTTCCGGTATTTATTTGACAGAATATATGTTAACACACGCAAAATCGAGATGTTAACGTACAATAACAATAACAAAGTATATTTATCATATTGCGATATTGTACAATTACATTTAATTATTCTTATATCATTAATTATAATTATGTTATTAATAATACAATTTTAGGATTTTTGCGGCTATTTAAATTGTAAAAATAATTCAAACGTCATTAGTAATAATACAGGCTATATTAAAGTTAAGAATAAAAATTTATATTTTAAAGCCTAATACGACGTGGTATTTGGGATTCAGTTTCGGGGTATCGGAGCTGCGGTCCAATAATTGTTACTTGACTTGACCGTGACCTGACCGATAGTGTGAATTGAACATTGAATTGCTCTAAGGAACTCGTTTCACCGCATCACGCGCACTAATTCACCAATCATTTTTTATTAATATCTTAATAATTATCGCGGTTATTTGTAAAATGATACGGGATTTTTTTCTACAGTTTGATGAAAGTTCTATCTACGCACGAGCGGATGTGTCAATCACACTGTATCTGCGTTCTTCGATTCACTAGTCGAAATTATGAATTTTGCGATCGATCTAGATTCCAATATGTTTCTTAAGAAATTTACCACGGGTATAAAACAATAGATGTACACATACAATTTGGATTACACTTGTGAAATAAGAAAGACAATATGTTTAGTCGAGCACAAGAGCATCTTACGCTCGAAAAGAAAGAAGTGGTCTCTTTCATACGTATGATATATTCTGAAGTTTAAGATGTGGCAATGTATGTTCTTTTTTTTGCAGTATGCTGAAAAAACTTAAATATTATCCGTACGTGAAGGATGAATTTGAGATTCGTGGTGAGTCCATGTTTTGGCAATTGCGGAAAGATAGCTTCTGGCAAAAGATCAATACAGTTCATCCTGGCACTGCTCACGTTGTGGCAATAACGATATTAGATTTGCCGGCATTTGATCGAAAATCCGTCGTCGATTGCTGGGGCACAATTCTGTATGAAATTGACGAGACACGATTCCAGATGCCGGTACCTTTCATCCGACTCTCCGTCACAGAAATAATTGATTGCTCGTGGATTAAGTTCCTGGACAAGAATGAACATGGCGCAATACTTGCTTTAAAAAGCACGTCTAGCACTGAAAGAATTGTAAACATTCAGCTATCGAGTGATCGAATTAATGATCAGGGCGAACATGATTCCAAGAAGAAACAGCTTTTTCGTTTCTTGGCCAAAAAGACTTTCGAGAAGATTCATAAGGATATTTTTTCAGTAAAGGAGCACGGCTCCTTGACTTACTGTCTGATCGAAATATTATCGATTGATTCCGACGAAGCAAGTTTAAGGATCTTTGCCAGGTAAATAATTGCCGATGAATGTATTTCCTTTTCTGATCGTGCCAAGATCATTTGACTTCCTTGTATATTTTTTATTTTATATTTATGTTGCAATTATCCGCGAATAAAATGCATATCAACGAAATTTAATAATTCGCCTTATCACTGCTATATACATTTACAGATCTGTTAACCAGCTTCATATAATATTGCGCCTTTTGCAAGACAAATTTCCGAACATGACGGTCGTGGAGAAGGTCGATAAATTCATGGAGGCTGCAATGGCTCTGATACGCGAATTAAACTTGACTCGCGACAAGAAAAGTGCGCTCGAAATACAGGAAGCAAAATTAATAACGGACTTGCTTATTCCTTGAATATGTTATTTTGTAGCGTAAATAACGTAAAATAACGTACATTCTATTTATCCATTTATTACATATGTAAATTAATACGCGTTAAAAACACCAGAATATAGATTCAATATTTAAGAACAATAAAGTAAAATTGTTAAAAACATATATCTGATTTATTAGATGTTTAAATTAATTCAGTGCCTTTTTTGACAAAATTGAAACTTCATTTGTAGATTACATAATACAATATTAATTATTAAAATAATCTCTATCATTTTCTACAACTTTGGTTCACTTTTCGAGCAATTGACGGATTCCACTGCGAAAAAAATGTGGCAGTTTTGATTCGATGAAGTTAACAATAGATTTTTCTACGTCTTTGATAGGTTTAAAGTGTATGTCACACAGATGTTGTTGAAAAAACCAAAACAAATGGAAATCAAATAGAGTCAAGTCCGGAAAATTTGCCGGGTATGGCAAAATTTCCCGATTAAGATGAAAAATAACATCTCTTGTCTGCTTTGCAACATGAGCCAAGCATTGTCGTGGAGTAAAATCATTTGTCTCTATCTTTTCCTTATATATAGCCTTTTACGTTCCAATCATTTAATCGCTTAAATTGATGGTAAAATTTAAATTAAATAAAATTTAATCAAATAAATTTAAATTTAAATTAAATTAAAATTAAAAGATTAAATGTTGTTTCTTATAGCGGTCAGCTGTGATTATTTCACCAGATTTAATGTTTTGTAATATAAAATCCTTTTCATATCTCATCAAATACATAAACAGACAAAACTTTTTTGGTGTGAATATTTGATTTTGCTGTCGAAGTTGATGCTTGTCCAGGATCTACTCATGACTTCCATCGTTTAGGGTTATCATATAGAATCCACTTTTCATCCCCCGTAATAATTTTATGCAAAAATCTTTTTTTTTCTTTTTTTGAAGCGTGATAGCAAAAAAAGGGCTATATCGTAACGTCTCATCTTGTTGTCAATGTTGAGAACATGCGGAACTCATTTGTCTTCTTTTTGTATTTTATATTTGTTTCAGATGTAAATTAACAGTTTCTCGAGTCATTCTAAGCTACTCCACAAGCTTCTTTTGTATTTGTGCTTGATCCAATAGCTTCTGTAACTCGATGTCTTCAAATTTCTTTAGCTGACTGGACCGAGGCTCGCCATTCAAATCAAAACTTCCTTTCTTAAACTTTTGGAATCACTTTTTACGTGTTTCGTGAGTCTTTGCATCTTCGCCTAAAGCCAAACAAATTATTCGAGCTAATTCAGCAACGTTTCTTTTCAAACACAAAAAGGATACAATGTCTAATGTGCGTAACTAGCCGTCGTGAACACAACTGATTTTTTTTAGATTGTATAGAGTTCGGTCATACAATTAAGCTGTATGCAGTTTTATAAACATAAATAGTTCTTTTTTAAAACTACGAGGGTGGATCAAATATAAACGAGCCTTTTTAAATTGCACGCCCGTCGGTGGCGTGAGGAGTCTGTAACGTTTTGGACAGTGGAGGGAGGTCATGTGGAAGGCAGAAATAACGTTGGCGCGCCACGTGCTTCTTACTCTCAGCAGCAATCACGATGAGTGAGAAAAAGGTACACTCCGCAGTGGCACAACGTGCTATTATTTTCTCGTCAACGAAAATGTAAATGTTGCTGAAATTCGGCACCGTTTACTCCCACAGTTCGGGGAAAGAAGCCTTTCATGGACTCGGGTGAAGCAGTGGTGTGACGGATTTAAGAAAGGACGGGAGCGTGTTGAAAACATTGTCCACCCGCGCCGTCCCCGCACCGGCATCATAGTGTAGAACACCGAGGCTGTTCGAGAACTCATCGAAGGCGATCGGCATTTTAACACTTTGCGGTCCGTTGACGGCACGATGCTGTCGCGCTCATTTCGACGTTGCCGTCCGTCGGCGGCACTGTGCCGTCACGATCTGATAACATTGGTTTTATCAATAAATCGAAACAAATGCGGTTTTAAGCAACATGCAAAACAGATGAAAAGCGATTCGTAGCTATATCAAAACAACGATCGCTTCAATTGTTAGGATGGTTCTTTCAAAGCTAATCTTTCGATTCAAGTCGATCGACAGATCTTATCAGTGTAAACGCTATTGTGAGCTGAGGAAAAGCAAAAAATGTTATCTAACACAGATTTTTTTTCAAATAAACAAATTCAAGATGTAGAAGGTAAATACAACTCTTACAATCAGTCATTGGTTTATTACTTATCAATCGTACACGTGTTCTCTAATTATATTTGTTTATTTATCTACTGTATGGTATTGTGTTATGCCGTATTTTATATTATTATTATATTATATTTGTTTCATATTATATGTATATTTCATATTATATTTTATATTATTATATTATATTTGTTTCATATTATATGGTCATAGATGATGTATCACCGATATTTCGTCGACGTGTCTTGAGACGAATTTCGTCAGAATCATTAAATGATGAGAATATTAATTTATATCCGCGAAGAAAGAAACAATGTTTGCAAGCACATGTAAATGAGAAGAGAAGTGTTTTCTATTCTTTTATTAATCCTCTTGATATAATTTATGCGCTTAAAAAGTCGATTATATCTATGTTTGACTTTTTTCTAGTTCAAAATAGATCATGATATTGATTGTCTCAGAAAGTAAAGCTCTCACAGCAAAGTTAACTTTTATTTATGGTGTTTAATAAGTAAAAGTTAATAATTTTAACTTATGGTGTTTAATAGTAGAGAAAAGAATGAACTTCACGATAAAAGTTGTTTGAATATGCTAATGTTACGTCCTGGGTGTACCGGAAACTATGAATCTCTCTTTTTAATTATATGATTGGGAAACAAACGGATTTCGGGCAAGCGCTACTGTAACAAAGATAAGAGTACATTGTCCACCGTTAAACGTACCGTATGGTTCCCCAAGCGTTTATCATTCATTCCGCCTTCATGTAAGGTATGTAGTTTATTTACATCCTGGGTACCCCGGGGACGATAAATTCGTTTTTTTATATAACTAAGATATCTTGCCGCCTCTACGTTAGGCACGTATGTATCCATACTGGGTACCTAGATAGCAACAGATTCCTTCTCTTATGATTATAAAACTAACAAATTGGATCAAGCGGTTTATGAAAAGATACGAGTACACGCCGCCCACATATGTCATAAGGCTCCCGATGAGGCTGCGATCTATCCACCCTTGTATACAGTTGGTAGAACAAGGATCCTCCTATGCGATTTTCCAGAGTAACCGTCTTCCACGTAACCTCCCCTCATTGGTGGACGTCATCCACCACCCCCTGAAATCCTTCCTATATAAGCCTTACCCTTTTTGCCGCGAGGGTAGTTACAATAGTAGTTCTTTTGCAATCAGTGACAGTCGCAGTTACAATAGTAGTTCTTTTGCAGTCAGTGACAGTCACAGTCGCAGTTACAATAGTAGTTCTTGCAGTCAGTCAGTCAGTGACAGTCACAGTCACAGTTACAATTACAGTTCAGTCTAGTTTAGTTCAGTCCAGACCAGTTCAAGTTCAATACAGTACAGTCGAGTCCAGTTCAAGTTATAGTTACAATTAGAATTACAGTCGCACACAATCACAGTTGCAGTTCTTAGTATCAGTTCTTAGTTAGTCAGTCTTAGTTCAGTCTTCGGCAGTCCACAACCATAGTCTAGTCCAGCCTTCGTCTTCGTCTTCATTCGTCCTCGTCAGTCTATTGATTCATCTAAATCGTAAGTCTCCATTTCATATTTAAACATGACTTTTAATCATTTCAATCCAATTTCCAATTCCACTTCATCCCTCAAAACACACACCTGCACTTCGTGATTGTTGTTTTCTTTGTATTATATAACGATGTTTTCCTTGCTATACTGATATAATAAACAATTTTGTTGCATTCGTTCTCTTCCAGGACATAACACTAGGTTCAATAGTTTTTTAGATATCAACATTGGTATAAAAAGAAAATCAACCAAATAAGCGCGGCTACTTGCATATTATGCCTTCGAGAAGTTCGAACACATTAGTCAAGCGTCATCGGGTGGGCCGCGGACCGCACAGTATTAACTGTTCTTGAAATCTCTCAGGAACTTCAAATCAGCTATGGTAGTGTGCAATCAATCATTCGCAATGAGTTGGGATTTCGAAAAGGTATGTTGCTTCTCCATGACAACGCCAGACCTCACACCGCAGCAGTAACACAACAAAAATTGGCCGATATGCATAAAGTTGTCCTAAAACATCCACCCTACAGCCTAGACCTGTCACCATGCGACTTCCATATGTTTGGGCCACTCAAGGAAGCCCTTGATGGACAGCATTTTACAACGAACGAGAAGGTGCAGCAATTCGTGTGCAATTAGTTTGATATACGTCCGCGAACTTTTTATGATACCGGGATTAAAAAATTACCAAACCGTTGCAGGAAATGTAGATAGATCAGATGGGAGACTATGTAGAAAAATAAGAAAAATGTAAATTAAAATTGATTTTGAAAAATATATGGTTTTTTTGCAAAAGGCTTGTCTATATTTGATTCACCCTCGTACCATAAGGCGAAAAAATATTTTAATTGAAATATAAATCAAGAGTAGGTTAATGTAAAGGTGTCAAATTAATTCACATACCTAATAACAACTTCTTTCCGAGCTATAGCAAGTTTTGTTCTAGAGATTCGTACGATCTATTTATCTTTGCAAAATATATTTAATATGACTATCATGCATTTTATGATAAATTTAAACTCTCTTCTCGTAAAATGCAACTCCTCGCCTCCCCCCCCCCCCCCCCCNAGTAAGAAGCCGTTAAACGTTATAAATTTTCGAAGTAATTTTTTTGTATACTATAAAGCATGTATTCGTAACATACTAGGTTGGGGAAAAAAAAATTCATTATTTTTTCGGTAGATGGCTGTAGTGATCGATATCTTGTAAAGTATTGATCAAACAATTTCATATTTATGCTCGTTGGAAAGGTGACATTTCGTACTAAAAAAATTCTTTTATTGTTTTTTGTTTGGTCCATTCAGTTATGAGTTCCAGGGTGTTAAAAATGGAAGTCAACAAAGAGAAAATTCGGTACATTTTAAAGTTTTTCTTTGATAAAGGCGAAAATGCAAGCCAGGCGGCTGTAATTGTG